GGCCCCCAAACTCGGGGGTCAGCCCCGCTGCTGCCCCCAAACCCCGTCTGCGTCCCGCCCTAAATGGGCAACCCCGCTGCCCCCAGTCCCACCCCAAGTACCCAGTACCCTCGTTACCCCCAGATGTTATCACCATGCCACCCAAAATGGGAACCTCCCAGTGCCCCTCCGCTGCCCCCCAAACCTCATCCCAGGCCAGTACAGTCAGTGCAACCCAGCACCCCTGTCCCGAGGCCCCGTCTTGCCCCAGAGGGGTACCCGCTGCATGCTCCTTCCTGCCCCTGTCCCCGAGCCCTGTCCCACCCCAGCGGGCATCCTCGTGTGCTCCCCTGACACCAAGCCCCGTCCCACTCCTGCCTGATGTCTCCCATCTCCCACACGTTTCCTACACCCATCCCCAGGCCCTGCAGCAGGACGGGGTGCCCGGTGTCCAGGCACCTCCCTGTGCCTGTCCTGACCCATGCGGGCTCCTTCCCTGGTACTTTCCGTGCCAGGCGAAATGGGGTGAGCCCTGTCCAGGGAGGTTTAGCGGAGACAGACCAGGGCGAGGACTCCGGTGTGTGGTCACCCCGAGGAGCTGGCGGGCCACGGAGCCGAGGTCCCCCGTGTCTCTGCGAGCTCCGGGGCTCGTTCCAGCTGGTCAGTGTGGCTCATCGATTCCCTACATTGCTGGAGGGAGCAGCGTGTCCACGCTGTCACCTCACTGCCGGTGGGCAGAGGGGAGACCCCTGTGCCACAGAGGTCTGGCGCAGGGACAGGGCTCCTGGGGCTCGCATATAGGGTGGAGGAAAGGCCTCTCTGTTTTTAACGTGCGTGGATTCCATCCGTGCTGGGTTGTGCAAGCCCTGGTTCTCACGCAGCGGGTGCCACTCCGTGCATCGGTGCGAGCATGAGTGTGAGTGTGAGTGTGAGTGTGGGCTGCACGGCACCAGGTCGGGCTTGTGCTCCCCGCGTGCTCAGCTTCGTTGCGGGGGGAGAGGGGGGCGATGGTGGTGACAGCGTGGGTGACAAGGAGGATGCGGCGAGGGGACAGAGATTGTCCCCATACAGCTGGTGTGTGCCTTTTTAGGATGGCGCTGCTCAGGGGACAGTGGGATGAGGTGACTTACTGGCTCATCCACAGTGGCTCTGGCAGGAGGGGATGGGGACAGCAGCGGGGACCTGTCTTTGGCCCCGGGGATGGCTGGGGTGGGTGCGCTGCATAGGCCGAATATCTCGTCCGGGAAGTGTTACGTTACAACCCGCTGCGCAGAAAAAGGCTGACTGTCCGGTTCCCGGGGTCAGCCGGGAGGTGGGAAGCAGCTCCTCCCTCCTGGGCCTGGGGAAGCTTCTCGTGGAGAAAACATCCCCGGCATTTCATGTCCTTCAGCCTCACGCCCTACCCCCGG